ATATATATATATATATATATATATATATATATATATATATATATATATATATATTTGGGGTGTATGTACACCTCAGCATCTGTGACGTCGAGCCGAGTGGATGAACAGCCGGAAAGCTTTGATGCAGAGGCAACAGCAGCAGCAGCAGTTGCAGCAATAGAGGAAGAAATAGAAAAAAGTTTTATTGAGTTAAATAAAATAAAAGATGAATTTCATAAACAAATACAAACAATAAAAGAAAATGCACAAATGAAAAGAGAAGAAATTCAAGAAGAAGAACAACAAAAAGATAACGGTACACAAACTATACATCCTAAACCCTAAACCCTAAACCCTAAACCCTCAATCAATGGCGATCTGCTGTAACATTGCTACGACTTAAACCCTACCCCGAAACCCTAAACCCTAGACAACAACTTAGTCTGAAATGTGCACCTGGGGCTTATCGATTAGGGTTTAGGGTTCAGGGTTTAGGGTTTAGGGTTTAGGGTTTAGGGTTTTGCGTGGCTCAGAGAGGCAAGAGGCGGAAGCGACCGTCAATAAAAGCATTCAACACCAAAGAGCTTTACAGGTCGGGTTGCAGGCTTTCTACACAACAGAGAGGGTTTAGGGTTTAGGGTTTAGGGTTTAGGGTTTACGGTTCGAAGATCAAGGGTCTATAGAGTTTAGGGTTTAGGGTTTAGGGTTTAGCGCTTAGGGTTTAGGGTTTAGGGTTTAGGGCTTAGGGTTTTGTTTTCTATAGAGCAAACGCCTGGCAACGCTCCCAAGCCTTTTGCTTGAGGCGGAGTCAGCAAGCCGAGCATCTGCAGCAAAGAAGCAGCAGCAGCAGCAGCAGCAGGAAGATGAGCAGCAGCAGCAGCAAGGATCCAAGCAGCAGCAGCAGCAGCAGCAGCAGCAGCAGCAGCAGCAGCAGCAGCTGCAGCAGCTAGAAAATATTCTGAAATCTGTGCAGCTAGAAGAGCAGCTGCTGCAGGAATTAAAAAGCCTCAAATTAGATGAACAAACTTTGTTTCTCGAAGATGCAAAAAGAAAAGATCAAAGATTTGTTGACAGTAAACCCTAAACCCTAAACCCTAAACCCTAAACCCTAAACCCTCAAATATAAATCCTAATTCTATAAACCCTAATCACCAGCAATTCAATGAATGGTCATAAGGGGGGGTTTTGTTACAATAAAAGAATCAAAACGAGGGTTTAGACTTCAATACAGACGGATTAGGGTTTAGGGTTTAGGGTTTAGGGTTTAGGGTTTAGGGTTTTGAGTTGCTGGTGAAGGCATAAACGACCAAAAGGAAGAACTGAAAGCAACCGCAGCACTGATGAACGCCGAGTATGACGCTCTCAGGCAGCAAGCAGACAGTAAACCCTAAACCCTAAACCCTAAACCCTAAACCCTAGACCCTAGACCCTAATCTCTAAACCCTAAACCCTAAACCCTTAGCCCTCGATCGAAAGCTTGTGATGTATCATCTGCTGGTAGTAGCAAGTGCAACGGAGTAACACCCCAAAGAAGCCTCTTAGGGTTTAGGGTTTAGGGTTTAGGGTTTAGGTTTTAGGGTTTAGGGTTTAGGGTTTAGGGTTATGTGGCGTTTGCAGTCGAGCTTCTACGCCTTGAACAAGTGATGCTTGCACAGAGGAAACAAGTGCTGGTGAATTATCCTAAACCCTAAACCCTAAACCCTAGCCACCAGACTG